AAAAAAAAAAAAAAAAAAAAGCATAGGAGTCGGTGGGGCAGGAAGTGCGTACCTCCTCATGGCCTGAAGGCAGAGCACTGAAGCCCTTTGGTGAGCAGCATCAGTGCCTACCTGAGTGCCCCAGCGCAAATCCCTTATCCCCAGATGAGTCAGTCTGCTCTGCTAGCACCTTAAGCTTTGCTGCTTGTGACGACTCCAGCTCAGCCCATTGTCTCATCTCTGCTTGGGCGTTCTACTGCTCACCTCTTTTCACATTTGACGTGTCTTTCCCAACTTCTGTGGGCCCATAGGCCAAGGATACATCACCACATTATCTCTAATCTTTATTACAATTCTTCAGTGTAAATATGTGATTTCTTGTGGCAGAGACTGGTTCTGGCTCTGTTTGCCAAATCCATGCCCCCTTTTTCTCTGGGCATACAGATAAACCACATCTCCTAGCTTGCCTTGCAGATAGTTGGGTGCGGCCATGTGACTGAGTTCTAGCTGGCAGAATATAATGGCACCATTTCCAGGCCTGTCCCATAAAAACCTCCCATGCATGCTCCTTTTCCTGTTCCACCAACTGGAGACCAATGCCCAGGGGATTTGGGAAGCCAGCATTAGAGATGGCAGACCCCTCACCAACTAGGGTCCCTGAAGGACTGTTCACAGCTGAGCCCTGCCGCTGCCTTTGGCCCAGGAGCATCCACAGTGGACATTTTTTTGATAAAGAGTCTCACTCTGTGGTCCAAGCTAGAGTGCAGTGGTGCAATCTCGTCTCACTGCAACCTCTGCCTCCTGGGTTCAAGCAATTCTCTTGCCTCAGACTCCCAAGTTGCTGGGACTATAGGCATGTGCCACCATAACCAGCTTATTTTTCTATTTTTGGTAGAAACAGAGTTTCATCATGTTGGCCAGGCTGGTCTGGAACTCCTGACTTCAGGTCATCCGCCTGCCTCGGCCTCCCAAAGTGCTGGGATTATAGGCGTGAGCCACCACGCCCGGCCCACAGTGGAGTCCGGTAAGGGGGAAATAAACTTCTGTTACAGCGGCTGTCATCACCCTAAGTAATTACTGTCTTTGTAGAGGAGATTAAGGAACTTGTCCAAGAGTTGTAGGGCTATTTGTTCAAAAATCCCTCACTAGATATTGTATGTCCTCATGAAGCTGCTTAAGATTTCTTTTTTTTTTTTTTTTTGAGACAGAGTCTCACTCTGTCACCCAGGCTGGAGTGCAGTGGCGTGATCCCTGCTCACTTCAACCCTCGCCTCCCAGGTTCAAGCGATTCTCCTGCCTCAGCCTCTCAAGTAGCTGGGATTACAAGCGCCCGCCACCACGCCCAACTAGAAGCTGCTCAGGATTTCTAGAGCAGGTCTAAATCGCACAGTTCTCTAGGAGGCGGGAGAGCGTCAGTGGCCAGCCGTGTTCCGGTTTGGTCAGGGCTGCAGTGTGACACTGGGAAGTATGCCTGGGGGTTAGTTCTCCTTTCAGTTTTCCCTCTCCTTGTCAGTCCAAATGCAGATGGACAGCCTGACATCTAGACAGAAGAATGCTGTGACAGCTTTCAGTACTCTGTTGCCAACAGAAATCTGTGACTGTGACTTGGTTTCTTTGGTGCGTGACTTCAGTTTTCAGGCTGAGCACCAGTGTGCTTACACTGCAGAGGAGTTTGTACCATTGACACATGCCTTCTTGCAGATGTGCTCTTGGAGTGCGGTCGGTCGTCAGCAACTACTGGATTGTAACCAAAATGTCTCATCAAAAAATTAGCCTGGGGGATGGGTGGGACATCTTTACAAAGGTCTAAGAGAACAGGGGTGTTAAATATATAAAAGAAATTCCAAGACAGGGCGCGGTGGCTCAAGCCTGTAATCCCAGCACTTTGGGAGGCCGAGGCGGTTGGATCACGAGGTCAAGAGATCGAGACCATCCTGGTCAACATGGTGAAACCCCGTCTCTACTAAAACTACAAAAAATTAGCTGGGCATGGTGGCGCGTGCCTGTAATCCCAGCTACTCAGGAGGCTGAGGCAGGAGAATTGCCTGAACCCAGGAGGCGGAGGTTGCGGTGAGCCAAGATCGCGCCATTGCACTCCAGCCTGGGTAACGTGAGAGAAACTCTGTCTCAAAAAAAAAAAAAGAAATTCCAGCAAGTGAACTCCAAGGGCCAGAGTGGATTACTGAAGCAAGCTTTGAAATATTCTGTATTTATGTATTTAAAATTACAATAGTATAACATCCATGTTGTAACACATTTAAACAGTACTGAAGTATGCCAAATACAAATGTTGAAGTTCTATTTCCATCCAAAGTCTGCTCCTCCCAAGTAGCTCACCATTGTTGATAGCTGGTATGCATCCTGAGGTTGATGAACCCAAAGTTTGCGATGCTTTGAAGAATTTGTCCATCTATGCAGTGTCAGCTGATTACCACTAAGGTTTCTCAGACTTTTACTGGGTGCCAGGCACAGCTCCAGACACTTGCTGTGTTTTCTGATTTAATCCTCAAAACAATGTCTTGACTGTGTTATTGTTGCCGCTACCTCTACTGAAGTAGAGATAAACTGAAGTGATTCCACAGGCTACACACTCAATGTAAAGCAAAGCCAGGGGTTTTTGTTTTTGTTTTTTAAGGTTTTAAGTTCTTTTGTAGAGACAGGGTCTTGCTATGTTGTCCAGGCTAGTCTCAAACTCCTGGCCTCAGGCATCCTCCCATCTTGTCCTCTCAAACTGCTGAGATTACAGGAAACCCTGACTTTGCACCCAAGCAGTTTGGCTACAGAGTTCACACAGTAATGACTTAGCTGTATACCTTTTAGCTAGCAAACAAGGGGAGTTCTAGGATGGGATACATTCTATGTGGTGGACCATGGATGAACCCAGTTACAGGGTTACAGAACTGGACACAATGACATCCAAGTATTGACTCTACCACTTCCCTCATTTCCCTGAACATTAGTGATTGCAACTGTAAAGGGTAGCTGGTAGGTCTTATGTTGCTGAATATTGATATTAATGAATCAATGATGCTAAAGGGTCATGTAAATACTGTACCTGAAATTACCCCATATATCTACAAAATCAGCTTACTTTCATTTGGACTTTATCTCAGTGAAAGAGTCATTGGAAGACAAATGGCTGTTGAGATTACTCTGCTACTTGTATTAGGGATAATCTCATTTCCTAATGTTAAAGGATGTTAATCCCTGATTTTCACTTTCCCCAGCCAATGCAGTGACTCCCTTTTGGCTTTCTAAACACCCTGTGAATCCCCGTAATCCACTTTGCAATGATTACTCTAAAATGTTCTACTTAATTCTTTCTAATTTTTTAAAGAGAAAATTATTTTGTGCTTACCAATTGTATACCTCAGCAAAATCTTTACTGTACTGATAATTTTGTCCGTCTACCACTAAGGGGCGCTGCTTCATTGTTTTTTTTTTCTTTTGAGTGCCTTGGCTAAAGTCCCCTGTGTGTCTTGGAAACTTGGCATTAAAACGCATCTGATTAATTGAGTCAAACAAACAGACAAAACTTTAGAATTTTAACAATATCTTTATTCAAGGAGCTGAAAGGCTCTGATGCTCCAAAATTAATTACAAATTAAGCTTCAATGATTAATACAGAAAAGAAAAAGACAAGTCTTGTCTTGAAGCAGATTAGAAGAAAATTCAGTGATGTGAATAGTGTTTTATATTTCCAAAATGGAAACACTACTATTATTTAAATTTCTATATTAATGTTATTTGATGAAATTGATTTTTCATCCATCTTAGAGAATTTCTATTACCAGTCGTGGAATATAGTTATTTCGTTGCATGAATGCATTACATAGTCTTTTGGCTTATTTTGCTATTTTGTTACTGTGTATGTCTGAACATGGGAAAGTGAATCCCATTTTACATATTATACTGATAAACTGAATTCTAAAACCTTATAATTACAATAGGAAGATTATGAAAAATGACAAAGAGAATAAGGAGTACTTAGTAATGAGTCTAACCTTCTAGGTTTTAGATAAATCTGAAAGAGGTATTAAAATGTTCAATTTAACTTTTTTTTGAGACAGAGTCTTGCTCTGTCACCCAGGCTGTAGTGCAGTGGTGTGATGTTGGTTCACTGCAACCTCCACCTCCTGCATTCAAATGACTCTCTTTTTTTTTTTTAATTAAAATTTTTTTTTCATTACGGAGTCTTGCTCTGTTGCCCAGACTGGAGTGCAGTGGTGCAATCTCAGCTCGCTGCAACATCCACCTCCCGGGTTCAAGTGATTTTCTGCCTCAGCCTCCCGAGTAGCTGGGATTACACGTGCATGCCACCACGCCCGGCTAATTTTTGTGTTTTTAGTAGAGATGAGGTTTCACCATGTTGGCCAGGCTGGTCTCGAATTCCTGACCTCATGATCTGACCTTCTTGGCCTCCTCAAGTGCTGTTACAGGCATGAGCCACTGTGCCCAGTCTCTCAAGTGACTCTCAGCCTCTCAAGTAGCTGGGACTACAGGCACGTGCTACCACACCTGGTAATTTTTGTATTTTTAGTAGAAATGGGGTTTTGCCATATTGGCCAGGCTAGTCTTTAACTCCTGGCCTCAAGCAAGTCACCAGCCTCTGCCTCCCAAAGTGTTGGGATTATAGGCATGAACCACTTCACCTGGCCCAATTTAAATTTTATTATTTAATAAATAAAGGAAAAGACATTCTATTATCTTGTATCTGGTTCTAAAGGAAGAAGAATGAAAGATAAAATTTAAAATTTCATTTGTACTTACCTTTCTTTACATTTTAGGCCACAGCAAATATGCTATATCTGATTGTACTAGATATCTGTTATTGCATGATTATCACAAATTTAGCAGCTTAAAACGTAATCATTTATTATATCACAGTTTCTTTTCTTTTCCTTTTTTTTTTTTTTCCTTGAGACAGAGTCTGGCTCTGTTGCCCAGGCTAGAGTGCTCTGGCACGGTCTCAGCTCACTGCAACCTCCTCTTCCTCAGCTCCCAAGTACCTGGGTCCAGAGGCACACACCAGCATGCCCGGCTAATGTTTGTTTGTTTTTTGGTAGAGATAGGGTTTTGTCATGTTGCCTAGGCTGGTCTTGAACTCCTGGGCTCAAGTGATCTGTCAACCTCAGCCTTCTGAAGTGCTGAGATTATAGGCATGAGCCACCATGCCTGGCCTATTTCACAGTTTCTGTAGATCAGAAGTCTGAGCATGGCTGAGTTAGATTCTCTGCT